CTAGAAATGTTGGGGGAAAAAAAAGGTTACTCACGTGCTTCGTATCCATTGGTTGGGTGAGAAGGCTGACAGTTACGGTAACTAAAAACGATATAACGAAGAGTATACATCCAAAGTGTAGATAATGAACTTTAGGTTACTCACGTGCTTCGTATCCATTGGTTGGGTGAGAAGGCTGACAGTTACGGTAACTAGAAACGAGATAACGAAGAGTATACATCCAAAGTGTAGATAATGAACTTTAGGTTACTCACGTGCTTCGTATCCATTGGTTGGGTGAGAAGGCTGACAGTTACGGTAACTAGAAACGATATAACGAAGAGTATACATCCAAAGTGTAAATAATGAACTTTAGACAGAATATAAGGTCGAGGGTCTGGTTGACCACTGGCACAGGATGGAACAGTGTAAGAAAATTCCCAGGTAAATCGAATCAAGCCAACAACTAGTCCGACCATTAGACCATAAAAAGCTCCCTGGAAGATAGGGTATATCATAAGTCTATATATAAATAAATGTAAGTAAAGTCACAAGCAACATAAGCTTAACACCTTTATGTTAGGCCTAAATCGGAATTCCACAATTATCATATTAATTGAACCTTAAGTAACACACAAGTAAAGCAATATATATAATTAATATAGAACACAATTAATCGTAAAAGTAATACAGGTAGGTAAAAATACAACAGTAAAACAAAATATATGTCACATTAATTTTTTACTGTGCACGATTTAGTTTAAGTAGAAACTATTACCAGTAAACGTTCATAAGATTTATTTTTAAAATAAATTTAAACAAATTTCACTTAAATTTATTAGGTAAAAACGTTTTATTCTACATCTTTGTTTTGAAAAGTTTTCTTCTTCCTTTCTGTCACTAATTTTGTTTCGTGGATATATTTAGTAGGGTAAGTGAGAAATCCAACTGATTAGTGTTAGTAAAATGACTTGAAACGATCGAATACAACTATAAAACAGACAAACAAACCTTCTGAAATGCCCCCTAGTGGCACAGCGGCATGTCTGCGCACTTACAAAGCCGGAAACGGAATCCTATCAGTTCATTGTTATAACTGATGGCGTGGTTCTCGAAAATGCCAATAGTGGTGTTTCGTGATCACTTTTATTATTTTGTGCCCCCTGTTTCATAAAATAATGGAGTAGTTGAATTTTTTTGACAGAAATTTCGACCGACTCAGTGTTACAAAATTCAACTGACATAGTTGAACTCGTTGGATTTTTTTTCCCGATTTCGACTCAGTTCGTCTTTAATTGAAACTAAACAAGTCGACTCCGAGGACTCCTGGCGTTTATATATTATATTATTAAAACGATGTTGTTCGTGGAAAGGATTCTCCAGACAAGAAAAACTGGTTTTATTATTCGTATTTACGCGTTTTTCTTCCACACTAAGTTCTCAACCACCGTTTATTCATGATATTAGTTAACTATGGAGATAATTACAGCCAATAAGAACCGTCAGAACAAGTTGTCATAATGAGATAATACAGTCAATAAGAACCGTCAGAACAAGTTGTCATAATGAGATAATACAGCCAATAAGAACCGTCAGAACAAGTTGTTACAATGAGATAATTACAGCCAATTAGAACTGTCAGAACAAGTTGTTATAATGAGATAATTACAGCCAATAAGAACCGTCAGAACAAGTTGTTATAATGAGATAATTACAGCCAATAAGAACCGTCAGAACAAGTTGTTATAATGAGATAATTACAGCCAATAAGAACCGTCAGAACAAGTTGTTATAATGAGATAATTACAGCCAATAAGAACCGTCAGAACAAGTTATTATAATGAGACAATATTATTTGGATTACTGAGTACTCGCTCCAGTCAGAAGGGTCTAGAATGATGTTTGCTGTGTCTGAAGTGGAAGGTACGTTTTCTCTTTATGTACTTGTTGCTAAGTGTTGACGTCCGTTTTAGAATCAAGTGTAACATGGGCGACCATAACTACGAGAGCGAAACAGTGTTTTTTTTTAATGTGGTGTATAAAATTAAATGTTTCACGTGACCTCGTCCATTGCTTAAATGGAACTGAATATACACGATATTGAAGTTTTAAGTCCCCAGAAGTAAAATATTTCATTAGAGTGTAAAACTTTAATAATCTCGTTCACGAGCTCAATCATACTAAAGTTCTGAAACCAAACTTTTAGGCCAAAAGTTAAATCAGAGGTCAAATATATCGAATCAAATTTCCACTTCTCTCTCTTTGTGAGAGAGGATCATAGTAAACTGGCCCGGCATGGCCAGGTGGTTAGGGCACTCGACTCGCAATCTGAGGGTCAAGGGTTCGAATCCCCGTCATACCAAA